TAACTGTGAATCGGCATAACATGCATTATTATGCATCGGAAAACCACCATTTTGTACGTTGCCTGAACCATCAACAGCGTTAGTCAATGAATGTTTGAGATGGAATTCTCGGAAAAAGAGTTATCTGTCATTATTTTTTAGATGGGCATCTCACTGGAAGTAAATATGTAAGATTTCTTTGGCATGAGTTTTCGGGGTTCCATATGGAACAAGACTCAGAATGTGGCTACAACAAGATGGTACCCCACCACATTTCAAAGTTTAGGTATGGGAATACCTCAACGATCATTTCAATCAAAAATAAATATGTAGGGGTGGGCCTGTGGCGTGCCACAGATCACTTGACCTGATCAAAAGGTTTTTTTATGGGGGTATATCAAATGGATTGTCTACCAAACTCCTCCAACATCTATTGAAGAAATGAAACGAAGAATCACTGGAGCTTTCAGGGAAATCCCAGAGGATATGCTGGAACGTGTAGAGAATTCGTTTAAAAAAGACTGACATTATGTGTTGCAGAAAATGGTCACCATTTTGAACATCTTTCGTTCAGGCGTTATTGTTCATATTGACAAAATTTTGAGTAAGTGAACGTAAATAAATGAATTCTTCGGAGTAACAATTAATAAAACTGTGTATAATGTTGCAATATTTCATATGAATGAAAAACTACAGGGTGTTCCATTTGAAAAATAGAATTATGTCTGTTTGAAAATGAATGAAACTTGACCAGTTTTATCGAGCACCCTGTATATTGTTTCCGAAATCTTGTGAGTCAATAAGATTACTGATCCATTTTTTTTTGTTAAAAACACTTTGAATTGGAGCAATAACTTATCGGGGTGAACTAAAACGTTTACTTTTTCTATACCTGTATGAAGTTATCTATTGCAATTCATTTTTTTTTTCAGATAAGGGGTGGTGAATATTTTCAAAAAGGTGAATGAAAAACTCGGGTTTTCTCCACAAACATATGTTATCCAATTACGAGTAAATATGGAACAGTAGTCAACTTACCTGTAAAATAAACCATTTTCAATGAAGATATCTTGACGACTGGCAATTTTTCTGAAATCATTCAAAATTTGTGATAAGTCGTAAAACACTCATTACATAACAATTGAGTTCATTGACTATGAAATATATTCATTATATGCATGAGTATTATCGCTCTTACCTAGATTAGTACGAAACTATCGTGTTTTCCCTTATTTTGGTAAAATATTAACTTTCATTTATTTTTATGAATTGTAGACAATTCATGGTTTGTCACATATTTTTATTATTTTTTTCTCCTAAATTCCGAGATTGAAGTCGTAATTTCGAGTTCAAAGTGAAATATTTGAGTTTGAAGTCGAAATTTTCAGAATAAACTCAAAATTTCGAGTCAAAGTTGAAATTTCAAATTCACCATCGAATCAACTAATCTTGATACCATGCATTCGGTCGGTAGCCAAGCGGTTCGGCGTGGGTGCTTTGTTCATTCACTCGAATTGACTGCCGTGTTGGTCGGTGGTTCAAGCCCTAGTATGAACGATCGATCTCCACTTGCTACCGTCCAACCCATGTTATGAATCACACGTTAAAAGGTAAGACCTCGTTAATCTTCAGCTCGCACAAGTTTCGACTTCTGAGGGTTGTCGTTCGTAGGGGTGTGATAGCTGGTTAACGGAAAAACAGATTTTAAACAGATTCGTGGTTCAGCCTAGCAACACTGATGAGGCCTATGACAGGTCGAAACATCGCTGTTCGGTTTCGAATCATGAATGCGTTCATGCGTTCATGAAAACTAGTTCACAACTAGTTTACAACTAGTTGCCTTGCAGTGAAATCTGCGGTGAAAGACACTGGACGAATCTCGTCGGCGGTCGAAGTTTGGCCATTATCGTCCTATCAAGAGAACTATTCGTAATGTGGTGGATAAATTTGCGTCCACTGGTTCAGTAAACGATCTACCAACATCCGTACGTTGACGGAACGCAAGATCTAACGAAAACATCGGCGCTGTTTGTGAGAGTGTGCAGGAGAATCCGAGGCAGTCGATTTCACGTCCCTTACAAGAACTCGGCCTTTGGCAGACCATGACACAGCAAATTTTGCGTTGTGACTTGGGACTGTACCCGTACTAAATTCAACTGACCCAAAAACTGAAGGTAAACGACTATAGACAACGAGCAGTGGAGCAGTTGTTAACTGACCCCTATTTAAATCAAAAAATCATCTTCACTGAAGAAGCCCATTTCTGGAAAAATGGGCATGTAGATTTGGGACGATACCAATCCCCATGAGATCCAAGAGCGACCAATCCCGAAAAAGTCACTGTTCGATGGGAATCTTTATCTGGCGGCGTCATTGGTCCATATTTTTTTGAGAACGACGTTAACCATGTCATCACTTTCAACGGCGAGCACTATAGGTCAATGATTACCAACTTATTCTGTCCTGGATTGGATGATATGGACACCAACAGGTGGTTTCAACAGGACGGCGTGCCACACAGATCTTGCCACATTGGATTTTCTGCAAGGGCGATTAGAGGGCATGGTCATTTCACGTCCTCAAAGCCAACAAAACCCATGCTATCAGTCAAATTCAGCCTGGTTTATATGCCGGAGTCATGGAAAATTGGACGTTTCGGATACGCTCTATACCCAGAGAAGCCGTGGCGGACATTTGAAGTTATATTTCAAGCATAATGGCATTGATAGGACTTTCAAACGAACAAAAAATTCGATGATATCTCACTCATACTTTGTTTCATTCAAATTTAAAGATGAGAATCGCTTACTGAAAGACCCTGTATATATTAAAAAAACTGAACAATTATTTGTGTTAACGGCAGACGAAAGTGTACTCTCATACACAAGCTATTCTTTTCACTCTTTTTTTCCTGTTGAAACTTTCGAGACTTTTTTGACTTTTCTTCAGGAACTCTGAAGCTTTGGTTTTCGTGGTACACCAAACCCGGATCGTTCGGTAGATCCCTGCATCATCAATTGTTTCATGACTACAAACAAAAAGGCAATTTGATCTTATGAATGGAAAACAGAGTTACTTTTACAAGTCATTTCATCCTAAACACTTTCAACCTTGAAAACTTGAAAATTCATTTATCAAAAGTGGGTATCACCGAAGCTAGTCAACAGTTTAATTTTCACCTGTTCTTACGAACTCACTATGCAGGATGAGTTAGACAGTCCACACCCTATCAGCAATTATCCGATTCCTCAAATCTTACACATCTTCCAGTGGAGTAGTATAAACTAATGACTTTAGGTGATGAGTGAGTTTTTTGATTGGTTGCCGCATGTTAAATCATACACACATGAATCATCAATCATCATAATAATCATCATCATAATAATTTCCGTACGCCACTGCAAGAGACAGATCAAGGCAGAAACGTCACAGACATTTCTGAGAATTTAGTGCCTACTAATACGAATTATTATTTTTTCATATTACCTGTTTATTCATTGGATCTTTCTGGTCATTTATATAACATATTGTTAGGGAGTGCGTTAGGATCAGAGCTCCGTACAGCCCTGGACGTTATCTTGTTAGGAGTACTGGATGGGACAGCCCTGAATATCACCTGATAGGTTTACATAAGAGGATGATACATTCCTTTGTGGGTTGAAATATGTTTAAGTGGGGCAGTCTGAAACTGACATTGTTGTTGAATAGACTAATAAATGTTATAAAGTTGGTGGTGTTATAAGTGTTTCAATATCGTTGTTAGCCAGTGAGGCATTCCTAACAATATATACATATACATAATTTTTCTACATAACAAATATTTTGAAATTAATACAGGCAGTCACTCTGAAAGACGCTTCCATCTATTTTACAGTTCCATGCCTCATTGACATAATTTTTACATTTCATATTTTGACAAGGCAATTTACATTTTGAGTCATCCCCCGTTTTTACTATGAAAAGTTGTTTCTATGTGTTTAAACTTTCAAGTGTTCACATATCCTTCAGATTAAGGAAAAAATCAATTCTTATTCATAACCTCACCTTTCGTGAGTACCTACTACTTTTCAATTGTTTTGCAATTGTTCCAATCGTAACTAATTGTACTATAGAATTTCTGAAGAAGTGCCAATAAATTCTCGAAAGCTTGATCAGAAAAAGAGATCTCATTTTTGCAGTCTTCAACTGCAAAACCTGCTCCAATCTTTTGCTACTTCTTTACTTAGCCAAACGAGCTAACCTCTCCACTCTCGTTTTAGATGTTCATTCGTTTGGAGTTCTACGAAGTGTTTTCTCGATGATTCGACAGCTGTCGTCGAAAATTCTTCAACCTAAATCTTTGAAAGATACTGATTTTTTATCGACTTTTTTTTTTGGGTATTTGTTACCTTCCACAATCTGAAAAATATAAAAATTATAATGGAGAACTTTATAC